GCGGCAGCTGCCCTGAAACCTCTTGTACGACAGCTGCATCGTGCCCTGGCTGGACAGCTGCCCCATCTGCCAAAAAAGACTCACAGGACAGAACACGGCCACCGACCAACCCCCTACCCCCGAGCCTGGCGGTGGTGAGCTTCTCCTCCTCCTCGTCCTCCTCCTTCAGCTCGCCCGGTAATGAGAACCCAGCCAGCAGCTCCTGAGCATCCTGGCCGGCCCCCAGGGCGAGCACTGGGCCGCGGGCCGGGACTGCAGACTCTGCGGCCCCCCGCACCCCTCACGCCCATGGACTGCGGTGCCACTGGGCCCTCTGCGGTGGAGGCTTGGAGGACCCGCCCCTCCCGGCTGTGGAGGGAGCCCGGCCTCCCCAGGGCCGGGCGTCTGACTCCCTTCCCGTTTGTATCCGACCTCACCATCTACGTGTTCGACGGCGGAAAGGTTTTTATAATTTTAAATTATTACTGCTTTGAAATAAATGGACGTTTGAACTCAAAAAAAAAAAAATTCAGGTAATTCTCTGAATCCTTTAGGAGCCCCTCACATAATGACACATAGTGTGTGCTCAACATATGCTTGTGGGATAAAGAGGGGGCCCAAGACTCATCCCTTAGCTGGGAATACAGCCTGAGTGGGGCCCACACCTTCTTAACTCTTGGGGAAGTGCCCTGAGGGTGGGAAGCTCCCCAGCCCAGGGACAGCTGAGTGCGTTGGAGTGCTGGGACGCCTCGCCTCGTCTGTGCCTCTGTGCAGGTTCCTTCATCCCAAGGTGGGCGTCCCTGTCACAAACAACATGCCTTCTGACCCTCATGGTGGCCACATCAAGGACTCACTCCGGGAGCTCTGAGCTTTGCGGGAGGCACATACCATATGAGTATGCGGAGGCCAGATGCCAGGAGGGGAGGGGAGGAACAACTCCTCAGAAACACACGGAACTTTAATCTCTTGGAAACTCAGGCCAGGGTGATCATGAAAAGGAAGGATGAAGTAAATGATGCTGTCTCAATCGGAAATACTAAAAAATGTCTCTCAGTGGAATGATTGCCCTTAAATAAACAGGTGCCACAAGCTGGTTAAGGAGCTAATTCAGAGGATGGTCCCAGCGCCTGCATTTACAAGAACACTGCAGTCTAGGATATTTCCAGCTGGGCCCAGGAACAGCTCCTCAAGTGTTATTAAATGTGTAATTCCTCCAGCACCGAGCAGACAGTGAACGCAGGCCCTGAGATGGCCTTAGAGCAGGTGTAATGGAGGAGCACTGCAGCATCTGTGCTGTCGACGAGTTCTCCCATATTGGGCTCCAGAGATAAACGGACCCCTGGAGACAAATGTGACCAAGAGGCAGCTTCAAACCAGATTACGATGATTAACTGCAAATTCCACGAGAATTCAGCAGCAAGGTGCAGTCCTGAAGGGTCATCTACTTTCATGTAAAGAAAAAAAATTAAAGCAGAAATAGCCACTCCGAAGACTAAATATAAAGACATTCTCTATTTCCAGGTACTAAAAGCTACTAAAAATCTTGATGAGTACAAGAATCACAGTTGGCTGAAGGTGTTCTGTAGCACTGGTAGCCCCGGGGAGCAGGCCTGGGTGGCCGATTGCCACCCCTCATCTCTTAGGGGAAATCTTTTCTGTCCCTCCCCTTCACTGGGCTTCGCGTCATGGTAGTCTGTCCATTTTATGCATCCAGAACCTTTGCACATGGTCCTTAATGGCCAGGTACCAAGAGCAGTGCCAGTGAATTTCTAAACATGTGATACAGATGACAAAGGTATTGAAGTAGGAGAGAAGCAAGGAAGGTTCTGAAATAACTTCCCCAGAAAAGCCCTCTTGTTTATGTAGCTTGGCTTTTCAATTAAATTTGACAAAGGGCAAAGTAGAAATGACCAAAAGGTACAGTTTCCTGAGCCACAAGACCAGGCTTTCAGATCAGCAACAAAAGGCTTTAGTGTAGCAGAGACGGGCTGGGTAGAAATGAGGTTTCACCGCTACTCCCTTCACTCTAAAATTTCCAAAACTGCTTTATACACTGTAGTTCTGATCTCTGTAACCATACTGCAGGAAGCGTTATTACCACAACTTTACGGAAAGGTAGATGATGGCTGTGGGAAGTAAAAATAGCTGGCTTAAGAAATTGAGGGCAACAGGACCTAAATTCAGTTTTTTAAACTCTCAAATCCAGGGTTTTGGCTGGTCTTTTAAAGTCACTGTTTATCCAAAGTGAGTTCAATGGGTAGAAGGATAAATCTTTTGTTGAAATATAGAATATTTTGGCCATCATTCCAGAGCAGACAAGCAATAGGACATTGACTGGACACAGCAGGGCACTGGGTCCAAAATGGGCCAAGGTTGAACTGAGGTCAAGGTCAGACTTGGATGCACTGAGGAGGATGGAGGTTGTTCCCAGCATCAAGACGAGCATTGAAATCAGGAACATGCAAGGGTGTATTGATCGCAGCCTCCCAGTCAGTACTGCTAGACCAGGAAAATGAGCGAACCGCAGGGCTGGGAGAGAGTCCACATGACTGTCTGTATAGACATGCCCTGGGAGCCGACAGGCCACCTCTCAGAACCAGGAGACCAACAAGGCCGCTCCACAAGATGACTCCAGACACCAACCCCAACCCAACCCAACCCAACGTAATGAAAGACAGCCTTCTCCCTAGAGGCACACAGGCTATGACACCTTCTTTGGGGATGCCCCCGTGACACTCACAGTCTCATGCAACCGTTACCCGTTTTTAGCCCCCTCACAGCAAAGCTCCAGCCGCCATGGCGTGGAGAAGTGGTCTCAGCAGCCACGCAGAGCCCAGATAAGAGAGGAGGACCCGGATCCGCGGGGAGTCAGGTCAGAGACTCATTGAGTGGGCAGGCATGGCTCTTAGGGGCCTGGAGCAAAGAGGGTCACGTGAGTTGGTTCGGGCAGCAGCGTGCAGGACTGATGCACGAAGGCGGTAGGGACAGGACCAGGTGGCCGGATCTGCCTGACGCATTTGTCACCTCCAGGCCCACCGGTGCTAGGGAGTGGAAGCCCTGTGGGTGTGTGAGCTGAAAAGAGCCCCAGGTAGCGGGCGGCCTGCAGGGCTATCTCAATGGCGCAGGAGTCCTGGACAGGAAGGAGGAGCTGACACTGAGTTGAGGTCCCCCATGCTCTCCTTTTACCCCTTGCAGAGCAGAGAATGGTCTCCCCCTTTGCATGGTGATGCCCTTGCTTCCTGCCCTCCTTCTCTGTGGCTCTGCTGATCCCCCTTTCCTGTGGGTGGAAAGGGCTCCACTCAGCTCACAGCAAATTGTTACAGGCTTGCTATGGGCTCCTGGGCAACTCCTTAAATGAGCATTTTCTTATCTGCAAATCATCTACAAAACCACACTTATAGCATGGAGTTGATGCAAGAACTAAGAGAATCTTCACACGAGAGCCCCTGCCATGGGGTGTCACCCAGATACACACATGTGTGCACACGCACATGTACACAGCGAGCGGGTCAAAGTCCAATTAGATGTATGGTTGTTTCTCTGCTGATTCTTTTCTCCCAACTAGAGACCATTTAAGTCACCATTCCTTCAAAACAAGCAAGCAAACCCAACCACTGATGCCAACTCATCTCCCCACTTACAAACCCCTCAAGCAAGCTGAGGGCCGCACCCCGTCCTTCCTCCCCAGAGCCCCCATTTCTGCCTCCCTCCCCACGCACTTCTGAAGCCTGACTGCCGAGCGCGGCAGCCTCTTTGAGGGTCTCTGGCCCGCCCCCAGTGCTCTCCCTTGTTCCGGAGCCTCCTTCTTCATGTCCTCTTATCAGACTTCCCAGCCCTCCCCTCTCTGACAACCTCCTTCCACCCTCCCTTCTCTGTCCCCTGAAGAGCAGACCCCGAAGCTCAGCCCTCAGCCCGCTGGACCTTCGTGTCACATTTCCCCTCGAGGACTTGCCTGCCATCGTCATCGGGTAGACGAGGGCCCTAGTCTCCATCCCCCAGGCCACAAGGCCCCATCACCAGTGGTCCCCTGAGCGCTCCCCTCACCACGCCTCTCCGATCGGCACCCCTTTGTCACTGACACAGCCGGCCCACGCCCCACACAGGTTCAAACTCGAGAACCGTTTGTTCTCCACACCTGCCTGGCCCTCCTGTTAGCTGTGCGTCCCCTACCCTGGCCCTTCCTGTCCAGCAGCCCCCACCTTCCGGCCACCCTCACCCCTCACCCCTCCCTCTCGGCATGAATTCCTACAGCCGAGGCCTCGGTGGCCCCTTGTCACCAGGGTTAACATTATAATCTCCTTTACACTGAGGCACACAAATGCAGCCCTGCCCACAAGATTTCTCCACTTTTTGAAGAGTCACCCTCATGCCAGGCATGTGTGCGGATTCGGCCTCATAGCAGAGGGTTCTGCCCCCAGTGGACAGTGTCGAGGGCAGGGACGGCTGAGCTCTGCGACACCTATGGCCTTCAACACAGTTCTGAGTACAGGGCCTTGCCTAGGACTTCGAGCAGTGGCTATGTGACTGCAGACCCACAGGCAAGAGGACAGGGGTGGGGAGGTGCTTACTGGGAGCAGAGCTGGAGACGTGGGCTGGGCTGGCCTGTCATGGCTGAGAAGTGACCACTAGTGCCGCGGCCTGAGCCTTACAGGTGACAGCCTGGGCCTCCACGGACTGTTCCCAGGGTCAGGGTTGGGAGGGAAAGCACTGGCTGGAGACAGGAGACTGATGGGGCGAGGTAGGGCCGAGTGTCAAGAAGGAAGTGGGCAGGGTCATTCGCTGGCTGGAGGGGTGGTTGTGGGTGAGGAGGGGGCAGCGCACAAGAGACAACAGGTGAGCCGAGGGCCAGCGTGACAGACCAGGACTGGGCCCAGGGGAAGCACAGCCTTTCCTGGGAGGGAGGGAGGCCATGGAGGGCGTGAGGCCAGGAGGAGGGAGAATGGACAGTGGGGCCGGGCCCCCCGCCCTACTCTCAGCAGCTCTCCTGTGGTGGGGCGTGGGGGACGACAGACATTACTCACACTGTCCACGGCGAGGATCTTGGCCCAGATGAAGACAAGGAGAGGCCGCAGCTCCCTGGCTGAGCTCTGGAGCAGCTTCAGCACGTAGGGGAAAATACCCACAGACAAGGCCTACGAGAGAGAGCACGTCAGCCCCGTGCCGGAGGGAGCAGAGCGCATGGCGTCCTCAGCACTAACGGAGCTGCATGGGGAAGGGTCGTGCCTCCCTCACCTCCAGTCCTTCTCCTGGAAGCGACCCAGGCCTGCCTGCTTGGGCTGCATGAGCTCACGCAGCTCACAAGGTAAGAGACACGCCAGGCCTCCACCTGAGTCTACCTGAGGTGAGCTACATGCGGCCTCCCTGCTGGCGCCTGGGAGTGTAAGAGGGCTAGCAAGGACTGCTCGCACATTCCTCCTAATTTTTAGGTTTCCCCTCTCCTCCTTCATGTTGAACTATCAATTATGACTCTTGGTTGACAATATACAATGAAAAAACTTAAATATACATCAATGGAGATAAAATAATATGCTGAACTCCCATGTGCCCATCACTTGGCTTCAACGCCATCAACCGAAAGGGCACGGCATCCTGGCTGGCCCTACCCACCGTCCTTTCCTGAATGTTCTGAAGCATGTCTTAGGTATCACATTGTGTCATCTGTAAACACTTAAGTGTTTATCTCTAAAAAAATAAGGTCTCTTTTATGAAAAGATGACCACATACCACTACCACACCTAAAAAAATGAACAATTACAATTATTGTTTTTTTTTGGCTGCGCTGCACCACATGTGGTATCTTAGTCCCCTAACCAGGGATCGAACCTGTGCCCCCTGCATTGGAAGCAAAGAGTCTTAACCGCTGGACTGCCAGGGAAGTCTCAACAATTATTCTTTAATAACATAAAATATTCAGTTCATGTAAAATTTCTAATTGTTTCATGAATATTAATTTTTCAAATTCTAACTTTCAAACTTTCATTTGCAAATACAGCCCTATAAGGTCCAGACCCTGCACCTGGTGGTGGGTCTCCTGAATCCCCTTTTATCTCTAGGTCCCTCCTGATCTCTTTCC